TTGTTGCTTTTGTTTGTAGAAAAGACCTGTGATGTTACAAATAGCTAGTCTGCGGCTAGTAGATGTATACAGTCCTTACTTAAAGCATGTTGATTTAATTTTAACTAGGAAACTAAATGCAGGCATGGGCTATGTTTATCCTACAAGGCATTTCATTAATCTTGTTTATCTCAACAATACTGAGGAAGTTAAATTTTTTTGATGGAAAAATAAAATAGTTACAGTGAATTTAAGAAAGCAAAACAAAACTAAATGGAGTCCGTTGGTTAAATGCATCCATTGTGTTTTCTCTCTCATCTAAGTGATCATCTCCCTTTTTTAGATTTGGATCTTTCCAGAGCTCTGAACGTTTAAACACCCATCATGGATGACTTTGAACGCCGCAGAGAGCTCAGGAGGCAAAAGCGTGAGGAAATGCGCCTTGAAGCAGAGAGGTGAGATACTGCGTGTGGAAAATGGTGCCAGTGGTTTGCCTTTGATTAGCAGTGGCTTTGAGGATTTCTGTCTTAAATTCCAAAGTATGCTACAGCTAACCAAAGAGTCCTTTATAAGAAAAGGTGCCATAAAGTAGCTTTAGCTAATGGTTATCAGCTTCAGTTATCGTGGAAGAGGCTGGAAGTCCAGGGGAGTCTAGTGCCGTATTCCCTCAGGCTGTCATAAATGTAAACAGTGAAGGTAGACTATGGCCCATGAAATTATTGGTAGGAAAACTCATGCTGAGATGCCGTGTGAGTGAATACCGCACAGAAAGGATTGGGTTGTTGTTTCAGACACAGCTAAAATTATAAGAAAACAATTGGAAGTTGAGATACCCTTGGTATATGTAGTATAGCATACCTGTGAATTGTCTGTCATTGTTGTGCAATTTCTATCATGTAGTGCCTATCATTTTTTTATTCATTTACAACCACTTTATGTGGGCAGCAAGGGTAGCATTTGCTATCAGTTATTACAGATTTACTTTGGTGCAAATGAGAACAGAATTTGAAATGGGTACGATGATGTCAATTTATGAAAGAAGCAGCATGGAAATACAGGGAATGAAATTTTTTTAACCCTACTTTACACCTGTACAGTTCTGTTTGCTTCAATGGAATTTCCCATGATTTACACTGTAGTAACAGGGAGAAAGTCTGTCTCCATTTGTTTTTGTAATGTCTTCTTTGATATAAAGATTTGATTTAGTTTATTAACACTGCAGTGATTTAAAAACAGCAATAGAGCTTAGGTTTAAGCCCATTTTGTTCTTATTTTTGTATTTAGTTTCGAGTGTGGGCTTCATTTTTGGTTTTGGTCTTTCCCATGCACTGACAAAAACGTGGTGTTTTGGGTTCTGAATGCTGTAGGAGAAAATACATTTCCAGAGCAGTTTTAAATGGAAGTCAGCAAAATGCAATAGCAAACATATTTTGTATGCCTGCTTTGAGCTTTTTAATAGGGCCTTGCTTACATAGCAGGGCTCTCTGATGTATGTTGATGATATCTGGGGCGGGGCGGGGAATCCCAGGTAGATGAGATGCAATGGACACTTTTCTTTCTGAAGGAAGTGTTGCTGTGTAAAACTGGGTATGTGAGCTCTCGTCAGGCCATAAGCTGAACTTGTGAGCTCTGGAAAGCAGCAGCATGTTGCCTGCAGATAAATAAACTCATGTGAAGCGTGGTGGCCAAAGGGGAATGAGACAGCAGCCTCCCTCTGCAAAACGCAGCCGTCACCTGGTCAGCGACCTCCCCAAAAGTCAGAGGAGCAAATGTGCCGTGGCACTAAACTGCCTTCTTGTCCCAGAAGGTTTCCCCCAAGGCGTCAGGCAATATGTTTTTGTTGGGCAGCATGAGAGGGATTGCAGAGCCCATGCCAATACATGGTATAGCACATGGTATTTATATGCTTCTAGTGTATTTCTGCTTTAAGAAAATCTTTTTAAGGAAAGGCTGAGACTGTAGGGTTTGTTGTTAATAGAGGCCCTGGGTGGCTGGTGGAGGATGCTGGGGGGTGTATTCTGGGAGGTATTTTCTACTACAGAAAAATGTCACTTGAATTTCCCCAGGAAGGTATCCAAGCTCTTTGGTGAGTGTGCAGAGGCTGTGGGGTGGTCCGGGCATCAGCAATGTTGTTGGCTGGCTTGCAGAGGTAGTGACAGCCACAGAGGGTTGGGGATAAGGGGGGCTCTGCCCTTCTTGACATCACAGCTGAAATCCAGGACTTCAGGTGTATCTGTAAGTCACTGGGCAGCCCGCAATTTTATGCATGGGGCCAGCTCGGGCCCCTGATCACACACAGGGAAACTGGAGCCCTGGGGAGGCAAAGCTGCTGCCAGAATCTCACTGATATCCCTTGAAGGGGCTGCCCCAGGGAGCCTGGCAGGCTGGTGGCAACACCTGCCCCTGCGTGACGGGGAAGCCAAGCGGTTGGGCCTGAGAATGACAGCTGTTGACACGGGAATTAGCCCCCTCCCCACACACCCGCGCTTGCTTTTGGGAAGTGTTTTTGTCACGTCTGGGGTGGCTTTGCTGGGATTTTGTGTGGTAACCTTTGCAGTGGAGGCGAGGTTGGTGGCAGCCCGGCCGGAGAAGGGCTTGGGCCTGTCTCCCTGTTTTCTGCCAAATTGCTGCAGAAGCGCTCCATGCCCTTTCCCACACATTTGAAGGCTTTTAGCAATAAATTGCTGTACACTAAATCTTTCTGTACTCCGTCTACTGCTGCCAACTTCAAGCATTCATGTATCATGAGTCAGACCCCTTAAAAGTCACAAGGCTTCTTTAAAAATCTTAAGATCTTAAAAATAATTTAGTCTGGCCTTTTTATTTTTGGTTTGCCTTACCAATAACAGAGCCTGATGTGACTCTGGGAGCTGGGACCTCCCGAAACATGCCTCAGCAGGGGCAACACCAGGGAGGAGCTAAGCCTCTGCCCCCATTGCCTTGAACAGCTCACATCAAGCTAAGGGCAGCAGCATTGGGCAGTTATTTAACAAGTGCTGGATTGTTTTTGGTAAATTCACATTTTTAGGGATTTGGGGATCATCTTCATTTTTAAAAATACAACTACAACATGCCTGTGTACATATTTTAAGCCGTAGCAATCTGCTTGCCAGACCTCCCTCTGCCTGAACGTTTTCAGGTGTTTTATCAAGTGAATTATGTGGTCCTAAAGAGCTGCATGGAGGCTGCTGCATGGAGGCTGAAAATGCTCCATCAGCTCTGAGCACTGGTAGCTGCTGCTTGGGCACAGGGCATTTCCCTGCACCCTCCCATCAGTGGGCTATAGCCTTACTATGGGGAAACCACTACGGGTTGTAAGCATTTCTGCTGGGACATGGACAGATGGATGATTATTATATGTAGGCTGTAACATATTTGCTAGGTCTCTCAGACACTGTTTAGGCTTCTTTGAGTTGAATGGTAAATCCAGAAGTGCAAGCAGCTGTATCAAACAGCAATATTTGTAACTCAGCCAGCCCCAGTGACGTGTTTTGCCATTTCCTGGGATAATGGCACATGGAAAGCCTGTATTCTCAGCCTGGTGCCTGTGCCCAAGAGAAATCAAGGGGTGAAGAGGCCTTGTAGCAGCATGGACTCCTGCACTATATGCCCAAGAGGGAGTGACTTGACCTTATTTTGTTTCCCCCAGGGACCAGAGGCCATGTGAGGACTGTTCACGATACGGGTGCTTTCAGCTTCCCAAGTGTCTGTCATGCTGGAGCCACTGATGTCCAGCCACTTACGTCTAGTCTTTGGAGATGCTTAGTACAAGTTTGATCCTTGAGGGCTGATGTTAGGCTTTGTGGTTGGTTTTTTTTGGGGGTTGTTTTTTTTTTTCCCCCCATTAGGAAGCTGTTGGAAATGGTCCTTTGTTGTGCTGTGTAGTCCTGGTGGTCTAGGTTGATATGCTTAGGATTGATCCTGAGGAGAGCCTGGCTTTGTCTTTTAAAGACCACCAGTGTGGTTAACGCCTGGCATGTGCTTTGGCTAGTAGTTCATGCTGTGGCAACTCAGATATAGATTGCCACCAACTCAGAAAGCTAATGTTTTTTTTGTATTCTAAGCTCTTATCATTTCAAGGTATCCCACACATCCTGGGTTCCCCACACAGGCTTGCTTCCCCCACGCAGAATTTTTGTCCAGATGGAATTTTTTTACTATTTATATTTGTCTGGGATCTCTGGAGGCCTATTGGCATGTTTGGAGTGGCAGTGCAGACTTGTCTAGGGGGCATGTGGCCAACGGCAGGCATATGTGACCTTGTCCAGCTTTCCCCCAGGGTGTCAAATTTACTGTGTGTGCTCAGGTTGGCAGGGGCCCAGCAGCTCTTGTACCTCGTGGGGGAACAAGCCTTTCTAAGCATAGGCTAGAAACCCAGGATAAAGTGTGTCAGTGTTGACTGTGCCTGTCTGCTAGCATTTTGCATGTAGTCTGTACTGAATGAGTGCGAGGTCAAGGAACATAGGATCCTACCAGCTTTTTGGGTGATGGGATGTGCTATGTCTAATGGCTCTGCGGCAAAGCCAAGGCTTCATTCTGCTCCTCGGAGGCAGAGTGAGTCCTGTGCCTGAGATGATGGTTGTATAAAGTTCCGAGGTCCTGGTCCAGAGCTGGCTAAAGTCAGTGGGAAGCTTTCCACTGATTTCAGTGGGCTTTGGATTAAGCCCTACCTGAGTTATTCCGGCCAGATGATTTATGAGACAGTCTCAGTGGCAGCCTTGAAGGAGCTGGATGAATGCTTTGCCTTCCCAGCCACAGGGTACATTCCGTGCTGGAGTATCGGGGCTGTCACAGAAGTGGGTTGCACTTAACTGATGTGAAAAATCCCATATGTAATCGAAGCACAGGGGATTGACTTCTTTCAACAAGGGAAAAAACAAATGCCACCTGCTGCTTTGTGCCTCTTCCTGGGCAGTAAAAGATGTTCTCTTGAACAAAACCTGATGGTTTTGTCATTTTGATGTTGTAACTGACACTGGAAGAATTTAGCCTGGGGCTGGGTAGAGTGTGTGTGTGTGTGTCTGGAGGAGTGGTGCTTTGTGAATATCTTGTTGATGCTCTTTGGTCCATCACAGCTGCATGCAGCTGCAGTGAAAAATTGAGGTGAAATGCTTCTTGAAGTGACAATAGATCTATTTCCTTGACTTCAGCATAATTGAGAGCAAAAATTGGCCCCTTGAACTCTCTAAAGAATAGCTCTCAGGTTAATCTATTTAGCACTTAAGCCACAATTTTACGACTGGCTGACTTGCCATTGCTCCAGCAATGTATTTTCACCTCTCTCTGGTGTTGAGGCTCTTTCAAAAATTATACTAGGAAGCTGATCCAATTTACTTCATTGCCATACCATCACTACTGCAGACTTCAGGAAGGTCTTAAGGTCATTGTCAGACTGGTCTCCAATTAGCTGAAGTTTAACTTTGAATTTGAACCACAGTTTTGCCCTGCGTGATGC